TGCGATCGCTGCTGCTCCCACCGTTTTGTCGGTGCCTCCTCGAAATCCCTGTGATACGGTTTGCTTTCTCCCTCCTGCTGGACGGTGTGGTGGTCGGAAGGAATTGCAGGTAGTTCCCATAACTGCAGCATAGCTGATTATTTGCAGAAAACTAGGAGTTGTTGCCGTTAAAAATGGGCTTTTCTGTGCCCGGTGTGTTATGTGGGTCAGGCCATTCACCTTGGAGTGCCGGTTTTGCTGCGGACTGAGGTTTGACCGTGAGCTTGGCTTTGCCTCTTGTCCAGTGAGTTTCTCCTTCCTTAGTAAGGATGATTATTCTTGAAATCAGTTTGCCGCGTGTTGACCCGAAATATTGTCCAAATACCGAGTCGAACAGATGTATCTGTAAAGTTTTCAGTTAGAAGCATAAAGAAATAGTTCAGGCTGAAGTAGCAGAGAATGGGGAAATGAGATTTACACTGCAGGTAAGAGGAAGTACAGGTTCTGTATGATCTCACGTCGAGTCACTTGCTAATCACTTAATAGCGCAAAAAGAAAAGTAAATGAATAGTTTTGATTTCAGAAAAGTAGATGAATAGCTTTGTTTTAAACAGGCTTAAAGTTAAAAACTGTTCTTAACTTTACAAAAAGAGGCTAAGCAAATGACTCCGCAGTCTGCAGTCGGCAGTAGTGTGGATCTATTGTTCCTGAGGTCATGGAGCACAGGAGCACCTTCCTCATGAACTTACCTGGCTCAGGCTCCAGGGGATCAGGAATCCTGTCTGGATCTGGCAGGAGAGAGCCTTGTCTTCTCCAGCTCTTCTGTAAAGAGTTCTGCCCTGCACTTTAGTTGAGAATGCAGTTGAGATTACAAACAACAGAGTTAATGACTTAAAAACTAAACATCTTTTGCTGCCTGAAGAAGGAAAACGAGAAATTCTAGTGCAAGGCTAAAACTCAAATAGAGTTTTAGTTAACAGATTCTTAAGTGACCTTTGGACATGAGGTTATTTACATGGTGTAATACAATGTGACCTAGTCCCATCTTTGTGCTTAAAAAGTGATCTGATGTTGCTTTCCTTAAGTCAGTTGTGTTTGAGGGTCTCTACTACTAGTAGTTTATTCATAAGGAAGTAGACTCACACCAATCATCTTGGATACAGCTTTCTCCAGCACAGAACAGTAAATGGGCCTGTATTCCATAGGACCTTCAGCTCTTCCCTGAGCACAAACACATGTGTATGGGCTCTTCCAGTAGAAATTGTCTGCTTCATTCGTTTTCCTGAGCCAAATAAAATGAATCAGGGGTGCATCTGTCAGGGATTGGTATTTTTGATGTCTTCCAGTTCTGCCTGAGTCCTCAGGAGTAAATCCAGATCCATGTTACTGCTATGAAATCGGTGCCTAAGGCCTAAGAAGTTTGTCTAGAGTGAGAAGAACATGAACGCCTCAAAGGATTTTATTTTTGGGGCTCTTTTCTGTTCCTTGTAGTGGTTCATTGTTGTCAGTTGAGGTTTCTGCTAATAAAGACTTTGCAAATATAGATTTGCATAAAGTATGCTTGTAAATTCAGACATGAGAATAACCCCTAAATAGTTAGCAGTTAATGCTGAGCAGCTGCTAAGAGCCTCTTATTAGAGGGTTTTCTGCCATTCCTTTACATTGCATGGCTCTTAGAGCAGTTTGTAAATGAAATAAACTTACACCCAGTGATTATTGGTGACTAAAGAAACAAACGTGGGCAAACCAGCTGCTGCTGTAACTGTACTTCTGAAGCAGTGGAAGCTCAGCAAATAAATAAGGGCTTCTAACTGATTGCTGTACTGTAGGCTGTGATCCATGAAGAGCTGGCAAACCACATGGTGCCGACTCCTCTCTTCTGGCTGCATCTGTGTGTGTCTGAGGCCTTTGTTCCAAGAGGAGCTCAGAGGCCTGTGAAAGCAGCTGGAAATCAGAGGGAGACAGCCTGTGCACCTCTGCTGCAACCTGCTGTTTTCTGAAGCCACATCAGGCCCCATTTTCTTTCCTAAGAAGCCACTCCTCTAATTGAGGAAAATAGGTAAGGCCAGGCTAATCTGCATTGTGGAGCAGTCTGTGTTTTCAGTGTTTGACAGCCTTAATTTTTTTTTTCTAATTTGATCTGTATGTTAAAAAGAGAACAAAGAGAAAGCAAACCAGGTCATAGCTTCAGAATTTCAGAGCTGGCAGGGAAATAATTTTTTGCATGTCTAGTTACTTGTGTTTCCAAATTTAGAATTTGAAAAAATAGCAGCTCAAAAATAATTATTAGGAGCTATGGAGAATGTAGCGTGTAATTCCATTATTGAGTTCTTGTCATAATTAGGAAATTCCTGAGACTTGAGGAATCCTGTGCTTTCAAACATCGTCATGTTTGGGCTAAATTTTCTTACCCATTTCAGGTCAAATTAGATTGTTTGCTGTGCAAATTAGTGCCTGAAAATTGATTTGCTTTTCTTGGTGTCATTTGTCAAGTGTTAGAGGTGACCTGCAGTTGCAAGGCTGTCAAATTATGTGCTGAATACTCTAGAAGTAGTACAGATAATACCTCCTTTTACTAAGCAATGTAGCTGTATCTCAGTTTTATGTGCCAACTATGGACCAGGTCATATGCTGTGAAGACTTTAGACAGTACTTTAGGCTGCTGCCAGTTTGTCTGTATTTTCTCAAAAACTGCTGCTTTAGGTAGATTAGAAATTTCTTGTGTCTCCTAGAAGGAAAATATGCCCTTTCTCAATGGAAAAAATTTGTCTGTAGAATTAGGTTGGGTTTTTAAATTGAAAGTACTGGATTCTTAATGTTAGTCTTTTATTAGCAGAACCAAAGAAGCTGTGGTTCTGTGGCTGATGTGCACTTTGTACGGAACAAAATTACCTTTTTTACTGAAGTTTCCATTTATTGAATTTTCCATGGCAAAGTATGGACTGGCTTTCCTAAGAAAAACTATCGATTTTATGGCTGTGATGTGCAGTTCATAGTAAGTGTCCACTCCACAGCCAGGCTGGCTGAATTCTGTGCTGCCTGTTCCTCCTTACCTGAGAAAGCACAGCAAAACGAAATTCATGAGAAAGTGCTACAGTTTCAGCTCTGCTCTCCTCCCTGGCTGTGGACATCAGCTGAGCTTTTGAATTAAAGTTTCATGCTATGGCTTTTAGCCAGGAAGTTAGCTCAGAAGTTGAAGGAGTTTTTCCACGTGATGATGAAAACAAATGATGAAACAAAAAGGAGAAGTTTGGCTCTTTCAAATCTGAGCCTAGAGCTTGGGAAGAAGAAATAAAAGTGGTTTTATTTAGCTCAGGAGCAAAGTGATGTTTGTGCAAGTAAAAGGGAGGATGAGAATAACATCAGTGTAGTCTCAGTATGCTGCGGTTGCCACCCGTGGGCTGAGGTCAGCACTGTGGCAGGTGTAGTGTTAGACTTCCTAAAGTTTTGAGATGCATCAAATTCATACAAAAGAGTGTTTACCTGTTCCCTCAGTTTTGCTAGTGGCATAGATCTTACTATCTCCCAGTTTGCCTGTCTCTCCATAGGCCTTTGGTTTAAACTTTGAACCTTGCCTGGTCCAGTCTATCTTACTTAACTTGAAAATTAGTTTCATCTTGAGGTTAGAATGTGTTTCAGGATCATTTGACTATCGCAAAGATGCAAAATTCAATGAAAATACTGAAAGCCTTCATCAAAATCACAACTTTGTGGTTGGGCAGATGATGCTGGCAGTGGCTTGGAGGAATTTGCCAGGTATGTCATGTGTCCAGATCCAAATTTATAGCTGTTATCAATAATTAATGTATCTTACATGGGTTTTTTTTTGCTGTTCACAGTTATTTACTTAGAGAAAACAGCATGCTAAATAATTTAGTGTAATTATATGCTGTAGCTTGATGCTGCACTGTAATCTGTCCAGGTGGATTTCTTTGTCCTGTGGGCTTTGACCTTAGGACAGCATTGCTTGCTGAGAGGTTTTATTGGTGTGTTCTGATGCCAGTGAGCACACCTGGGATGCAGCCCAGAGTGCTGCTTCAGCTGTCTGTGCAGCATGGTTGTAGTCCAAGAAATGCCAAATGTATTTTTTTTAGAAACTTTGGGAGATTTTTGGGAGGGGATTGGTTTGGGTTTAGTATTTGCAGCTTTAGCTGTAGGTTGTGAAGCATTTGCTGTTCCCTGTGCTGCAGCTGGGTTGCTCTGTAGGTGATACATCAGGCTCACCTCGTAGCCATTTCACATATGGAAGGTGCAAACAAATCCCTTTTTAATTGTTACTGTTTCAGCCATTCCTGTACGTTTATACAGAAACAAAATTCCTTCATCTGGGGCAGCTTATTCCACGTTCCTTAAGCTGGAGTGAAAAATTAGTTCAATAACCATAGCAGCCTTCTTCTGATTGCTTTATGGCTCTGTTAATAAAAGCCTTTCTAGAAATATCTCTGTGTAAAAGGACAAGGATTTTGAGCCTTACATCACAACCCTCTCCTACAGACTATTTTTCCCTCTTGTTTTTTGAACAAGATTTGCATGCTTAGCTGAGCAGATTCAATTATTTTCACCCTGGATGACTGAAAACAAGAATAATTGGAATAACAAGATAGAGGCACAGGGTAGGTTGTTTTGTGCCCCTGCTGTGACATACCACCACATCAGTATTATGGGGCAATGCTTCACCTCAGTTTTCAGAAGCTTTTAGTGACTGATCCTGCAAAGCTTTTATGCTTCTACCTCTGCTCTAGTGCCTGAAGTACAAACAAACGTTTTGACTTTGGGGCTTTGGCCTAGAATCCAAAGTTGCTTTGAAGCTGCAGTGTAGATGTTTGACATTTTAGCTCACTTCTCTTTATAAAATTTTGTTATAGTACGTAGTAACCTCTGAGTTTGACTCTGATATTTTTTCCCACCATGTGGTCAATTAAGTTTGTGAATTGATTTGCCTTGTGTTTTAAATTTGTGTATTCCTTTCAAATCACATCCTTGGTGTCAGCATACTTCCGTGATTATCACTGGATCTGTAGTATCTATTGCCCTTGTACCTTTCCAGCTATTCAGCGTCTAAAGAAGGGACTGAGGCATGTGACAGCACTCTGAGAATTGAAATCTAATGCAGCCTTGCTGCATAGTGCCCCATGACAATACAGAGCTGATAGCTTGCAGTGATATTTTTGGAGATTACACTGTCTGCTGTGAGTGGCTTCTGAACTTTGTGAGCACTAGCGCCTCTCCCAGTACAAGGTAACTCACGTTCACACTGCTGAGCTACATGGGCCTATAATTCTGTTTGCACACCTTGGAAGCTTGGATTTTATCCTAATTTTGTAATCAACTTGCCTAAAAGTAAAGGATATATCCCTTCTCATCCTTGGCATCGAGTGTGTTAAAGCACATCACGATTTTTTGAATAATGCATTGTTTCCTTTATCCCTACAGGTATTTCTGGGAAAAGCCAGCTTCTGTTTGCACTGGTCTTCACTACCCGTTACCTGGACCTCTTCACTTCATTCATTTCACTCTATAACACATCAATGAAGGTACAGTACACTGAAGAGTCAGAAAAGCTAGTAATGTTGCATGCAGAGTGCATAATTTCATGAATAAAAGCTCTTTAAATGGCACAGTTGTTACAGAATAAGTTCTAGATGTGCTTTGGATAGACAATGTGGTACATGGACTCAACCCTACTTTTTTTTCTGCACTCTTCATGCCACTTTTAAAACCTCTATATACAGGAACTGTGACATTTAAAACAAATGTGACTTTGGTTATTGAAAATTAAAGCTTTTGGACACATGGTTCAAATAAATTGTATTTCTCAACTGAGACATTAGATCTTAAGTAGATCTCTCTTTGTCCACTACAAGGTAAATTAGTATTCTGAGTGCACTGCCAGAATTGCAGCTAGTGTGTCTGTTCAGAGGCTGATCAAAAGTTGACAGGAGTATGCTCTTAGGAATGCAGCTCCATGGGATTACACTCTGTTCACTTGCCCACTGAATGCTAGTGAGCTGAAGTTTGGGTTTTTTATTTATTCCTGCAATTTCTGGTGCTGAGTACAAAAAATAAAGCAGTAGGCTGGGGGAGGGCAGCATGTTTGTGGCACCAATACAGACTGGGCATTTGTGGCATCAGAGCAGACACTTGGTTTAATCCAGTTCCTTTATTCTTGAATTCTCTAGATGCTTTTAATTCAGAGGATAGTATCACTTTGCCAAGAGGAAAGACTGGATAATCAATAATACAAACTGTACTGAAAAAGTAGGGGAATAATACAGTAAAATAAAACTTCGGATCTTAAATTCGCTCACACTTTTCTTCTAACAAGTCAAATGCAAATGCCTACACTTTAATTTTGCAGTCTAGATGAAGAGATGTGGATTAAATGAAATATTCTTGGAACACAAGCTTTTTCTGTATATAATTTCTGAGCATATTGAAAGCTACTGTTGGGTGCACTAAAGGAGCAGCTAGGGCTGTTTTTCAGTTTATTTTCTTGGTTGTAATTCAGGGTCATGACTGTGTCTGTTCTGCAACCCTCCTAGCCAGAAAAGGAATGACTGTGGGAAATGACACTTGTGATACTCAACTTCACTTTAAACTGAGTCTTTCCAGTAATGACAGTGTGGCCCTGTGTTCAAATCCAATATTAACTTGCAAAATGGAAGCCTCTATTACACTTTCAAAGGTGACTGCTCAGAAAGGCTGTTACGTATAATTGACTTTTCAGCCCATTATTGTGGTGTCAAGATGAAGCTGCTTGAGTGTCCCACACAGCTTCTTATTCCATCTACATATATTTAGGAGAGTATAGCATTATACAGTTGTTGAAATAAGAACTGCTGTAAAAATCAGCTTACTCAGAGCACAATGTAATGAACTTTCTAATCGGAAGAAAATGCTGCAATTTGCAGCAAAGAAAGGTGTTAATTTTGGTAGAGATAGCATTTTCTTCAGTATTATTAGAGAAATATTAATTAAGCTACAGGTGCCAACTTGCTGTGTTTGGCAGTGATCATCAGCTGTTTAGGAAAATGAGACTCTTCTGCACAAATTGGCCCTGTCTGCCTTTCTTAATGACCTGCAGGCTAACTGTTATTCAGAGCATTCCCTATCCTACAGTTATTTTCGTGGTACCTGAGCTGAGCATTGGATGCATTTCTGCCAGTGCACTCTGCAGTCACTTTGCTGACATTCTTTTATTTTGGTATCTTTAAAAATGAGAAGTTTCTGAGTGTCCCAAAATACACTGTAGTTCTCATGAAGAAATCTGTAGTATATAAGGCCTTTGGGTTTGTTCACAGTTGCTTAGTGTCTTCTCTGACCATACCAATTGCTGAGTTTACACCTGTAGCAGGAGTTCCCTGTGTCCTGCCCTGTGGTCCTTTATCTCCAGTCAGTCAGGGTGCTGGTGTAGCCTTTGGATTCTGAGCTCCTTAATGCAGTGTTTGTAGCATTTTGTGTCTGTGAGCAGAGCTCTGAGTGATTAGTAGCATCTGCAAATAGTGGTGGGGGTTTTTAATGTGTTATTTTTCAGTTTATAAATATCACAGACTTAATGTGATAAATGGTTTGGAATATTCAATCTTTGTGATGAAACAGGCAGAAGTTAAACTCTCTGTGTACTATGTTGTCTCTAGGACAATGTGAGCTCTGTCCTGATGATGGCAGATTGACCTTTAGAAAGTCATGATTTATCTCTGGTTCTGTTTTCTCATCTATAAAATGAGGCTTTTTGCTTATTCCACAGGGAGTAGCTATGAAGTCTACTGTGCCATAACCAGTAAAAATGGTAACTGAATTCTGGTTCAGTGCTTCCAGCAGTCTGTTAGTTTTGCATATTTTATGGCCTGGTGTCTGGTGGAGAACTCTGGCCACTTGCCACTCTTCAGATTATGTTTGGGGCCAGTGCTTCCCCTGCAGTTGCAGAAAGGCTGTTCCTTCTCCAGTCACTTCCTTAGTTCTGTCTGCTCAGAAAAGGGTCTTTAAAGCACCTTTGGAGAGTCACTTCAACCAGAGGCAGTTGATGCTTTTAAAGCAACAAAACCAGTAGAGCCCAAGGCTGTTGGTTTGCAGAGAAGAGTTAAATACCACCAATAGCTGCAAAAACATGTAAACAAACAAGGCAAGTAACAAAGAAAGATTACACTTATTCCTCTTAGTGCTTGGGAATGTGTTTGTTCAGGGAGTTTGATCTAATGCTGCAACCTCTATGGATTGTTTTGGGTTTTTTCTCTCCTTGCTCTCTAGCTTATCTACATCGCTTGCTCGTACGCCACCGTCTACCTGATCTACATGAAGTTTAAGGCCACCTATGATGGAAACCATGACACCTTCCGAGTGGAGTTTCTGATAGTTCCTGTTGGTGGACTCTCATTTCTTGTCAACCATGACTTCTCTCCTCTGGAGGTGAGTTGACTGTGGGCAGGAGGTTGTCTTTTTCCCCTCAAATATTTTAGAACATGAAGATGAGCATTTTTAGGCTGCCCAGGGAATGGCTGAGAGATGTCTGTGCTTAGTAGGTTCAGGCTCATCCTTTCCTTAATGCATCTGTGTGGTGCAGATGTGCAAATTTCAGGCATCTCAGGAGACTGTCTTTGTTATCAACATTGGTTATTGTATTAAGCAGAAGATTGTGTTTTTCCCAGTACACTCTGATGGTTTTATGAATTCAAAGTATCTTTCCTTTTGTTCTGTTTGTTAAAGAAGTGCCCCAGAATGCAGTTTGTAAATAGTTGGTGCCACCTGGTGAAAACTGAAGGAATTATAATACTTCGTAAATGTTGTGGAATTGCAAATGGTCTAGAGTATCAGAAAGAATTGCATTGTATTTAAAATGCAGCTATGTGTTTCACTGGCGGATAAATTACATTAAAATGTCATTAGAGAGAGTTCAAACAGGTAATTTTCCCCAGAAAGTAGAGAAAAATTTAGATGCTTAATTTAAGTGGACCGAGCTGCATTTTTTCATAGTTAATGATCAGAGTTAAATGATTTTATTAGAGTAAGGGAATTTTAAATGCAACATTTTGAGACATTATTTTAAATTTTGTTCTGTATTAACTCATTCTTTAAACTAATAGATAAAAGATGGAAGAACATGGGGGGAAGGAAAGGACTTCATCTTCCCTGCAGCTTTTCACAGCACCAGCACCAGCTCTGTAAGCTGCATTTCATGGTACTGTGACTCCTGAACTGCTGGATGCACACAGGTTTGCTCACGAGTAAACCTGTGCCTGCCAGCTCATTAGACAGCTGGTTTGGAGAGTCTGGTGTCTGCCAGGAGAGTTTTCTTCTGCCATCCTGTGGTTCATAATGAAACTTCCACTTAGTTCTTCCTGTACCAAGGAAAGTTTGCCAAAATCCTGTACCTGTATGAATAGCTATTCATGACATTGTTAGAGAGTGAAAAGCCAAGCCAAGTCAAATGTTTTCTGTCCTGTTATCAGGCACTGGAATACACCTGTGGGTTTTTTCCTTTCAGATACTGTGGACCTTTTCCATCTATCTCGAGTCGGTTGCTATTCTCCCTCAACTCTTTATGATCAGCAAAACTGGGGAAGCAGAGACCATCACTACTCACTATCTTTTCTTCCTGGGTCTGTACCGTGCCTTGTACTTAGTCAACTGGATTTGGCGCTACTATTTTGAGGGATTTTTTGACCTCATAGCTGTCGTTGCTGGTGTGGTCCAGACTGTTCTGTACTGTGACTTCTTCTATTTGTATGTTACAAAAGGTAAGTAGTGCAGTAACTTCCAGCTTCAGGTTGTGGGATGTAGCAGTTAATACACTCGTTGAGATCTGCTGTATCAGCATTATGAGGTCATTAGTACTGTGTGAAAATTAGTGCTGAAATCTCCTTAATTTATTGAGTACACTTTCTGCTGGTGTGGGGCATTTCTGATGGTGGTTTTGTGTATGGATAGAATATAAATGTATAAATGGTCTGATGAACTGTTGGAAAAATTCAAGATAAGTATGGCTAAATACATGCTTCTGTTGCCTTCCATGGATAAGCATGATCCTCTTGCTTCTACCACAAACACTGCTGCATGCAGATCCCATGCTTGCAGACACCTCCCTCAGTGTTCAGAGTATTTTGGATGTTTCTGCTGAGTGTAGAAGCAACACTTCTGGGTGCATTGGTAATTCTGCCCTTACATTCCAAAACTCCGTCATGTAACTACAAATCTACATGGAGCTGTGTTAGAGACCATGGTTGTGGGCTAGTACATTCTCTGAGGATGAAGAGTGGGAATTGCAGGGTGCCACAAGAGGGCAGGCCTAGAATGGTTGTTAATTCTAGTTTTACCAGTACGTATTGAAGAGAGGCAGCTTGGGAGGAGTCTGCAGTGTACCCACTGCGTAACAAAGGAGCTCTGATAGGTTTTGGACCCTTTGAAGTGTTAACAGTGTTTTGCTTCTCCTACATCCCAACTTTGTTTGGCTAACTGTTCTCTTTCCTGCTTTTCCTTACAGTACTCAAGGGAAAGAAGCTCAGTTTGCCAGCGTAAGTGCCAAAACATCACCAGCATCTGTCCTTTGGGATGCTTGGACAGAACAATCCTTATCACAAGCAAAGGCGAAGATGCTTGAGACAGAAAGTCAGAAACAGCTCTTTATAGTGCAGGTAGTCATCAGCGGCTCTGTAAGAACGGAGGAAAAACAACCAGCAGATTTCTGTTTGATGCATCTTGCCTTTATCTTTTTTATTACTATGTATAAAGATTTTTTACATAAAGAAACTTATACTGTATTAATAAATTCAGTGTATGGTTTCAATTGGAGTAGTTCCAAAAGTGAGATTTTTGTGAGATTGTTTATGACCAGGAACAAGTGCAAACGTTTTTATTAATTTTCAAGATTTTTCTTTGAAATGACTGATATTTTTTCTTTTTTTTTCTTTTTTTTTGTTTCAGTGCACAGATAATGTGCATCCTTGATGGATGGTAGTCATCTGTTCTTTCCCTTTGATTCAATTTTCATTCCACTATATTTATTTTTTTCCAAAAGGTGAATAGATGTCAACTCTAAATCTGAAACCACCATTGTTTGATGTGATGTGCTGGTGCCCAGTCTTTGTGCCATCTGCTGACATGGAGGTCCTTATTCAAAGTGTATGTTGGTGCCAGAAGGGGAACAGTCGCATTTTGTAGTTGTTGCCCTTCTAAAACAGACTGATGGCAAGAGGGCAGTGAGGAAATCGCTTGAGGCCACCAGGGATGGTCCCTTTCCTGCTCTGCCATGATGTTTGGGAAGGTAATCCCAGTAATGAAAGCACTTGGCAGTGCAGGTCGTGAAGGGTGAGAGATGCGATTGTGTTGATTAATGGCAAATGTTTGTGACTCTGTTGTTTCTTCAGGAAAAGAAGGTTAAATATCTTGGATGTACAGCCCTGCTACACCATTACAGCTATAGAAATGGGGGACTTGTGAGTTGTTGATTACAGTAATCTGTAGGTGATCATTTTAAACAATATCTTCATTTTCTTTTTAATGAATGCTTTATAAGCAGCTTCCATGTTCAGCCTCAAGTGGTTTTCGATGTCACTTTTGGACAATTAATATTTTTTTATAAACTTTTCAAAATCAGCAGCACCAGTTACCATTCTTCATCCTTTAAATGATTCCCTTTTTTTACTGAGCTGTTGCATGATTTATCCTGTGTTACCATCCTCAATAAACACTTTATGAAATGGTAAAGATATTTTGGGCTTCTTTTTATCATTCCTGTACATGAAAGTTTTTTGTTGGCCTGGGACTGGTTGACAAGTTGTGGTGAGGACAAGTTGTTTAATGTCATTTTTTGCTCTATTGAATATGAACTTTCTAAGGCCCTGAGAGGCACTGTCACTGAGGGAAGCAATGATGACTTAGTTCTGTGTGTTTTATAAGAGCTCAATCTCCAGCCTGGTGCAGAGAGGAGGGTTTGGAGCTTTGGTGTCAGTTTATCTTCAAGAAAGTGTTTATCTTCTCCACCTTAGTTTACCATCATTATCTCCCTGGTCCATGATGGTTCTCATTCCTAACCCCAAGTGAATAGTGTTTATTTGCACTGTGTATGCTAAAACACTGCAGCCTACACTATCTGAGCTATGACACTGAACATCGTGTTGCTGCTCGGAGTTTCTCAAAATCAAGGTCTGTCCATGCAAGGAAATATAAGAGCCTGATCCTGGAGCCTGATTCCTAGTCATAGCCACGGTGCTACCTGAGCTCTATGCTTGTTAGTATGAAAGAGCTGTTCAGGCTCTGAGTGGGTTATTTATGTCCCTGCTGTTCGTTTTGCCGTTACTGCTGCAGTAGCTCAGTGGCAGTGCCCTCGGGTGGGCTTGGCGCAGGGTGTGCTCAGAGCCCTGCAGGAGCAGAGGGACCTGAGGGAGAAGGTCGGGGCTGCTGTGGGAGCACCGAGCCTCCCGCAGTGCACTGTCCCCCCGGACCCGCGTCTGCCCTGCCGCGTGTGCTCCCTGCCCCGGCACCGTGTGTCACCTGCCCCGGCACCCTGTCCCGACATCGT